GGTGGGCTGAGCTCGCGCGGGCAGGAGGCAGCGCGGGCAGGGACGACCCCTGAGCGGGGCCCCACCAGATCCAAGACCCTAAAATGCCCCTCCTGTCCCCACCGAGACCCCAGTTGTACCCCTTTTTAGAGCAAAGACTCTTGAACGCTCTAACGTCGGGGAAGTGGTTGCTGAGTATATTGTTTGTGTTTCCTTTCAGCTCCGCCTTGGGAGAGGATGTTACTGACGTGCTGGCGGGCAGATCGGGCCAAAAAGGGAACTCACACCCGCTCTCAGCCACCAGTCGCCACCTTCCAGGGGCGACTCCCCACTGTCCCTCCCTCACCACCCTTTCCAGGGCCCTGGGATGGCCAGCCTCACGTGGACTCCGCACCTGGCCACCCTGGGTGTTGCCAGCCCTCCTAACAGCCAAGTGTATGTGTGTGTGTGGGGGGGGGGGGCGCAAGGGAGAAGGGAGTTAAGACCAGAGGAAATACCCGGCCAGACAGGGCGCCCCACTACCCAATTCCTCGCCGCTCCACCCGGTGTCCAAGCGCCTGCGCTGGAGCTTTGCACCAAGTCACGTTTCTCTTGCCTTCGCTGGGGCCGAGGGCCTGCTGGGATCCGAAAGGCAGGGGAAAGTGTGCAGCGGTTTTCCAATGATTCCCAGGAGCGCCTGCCTGAGGCCTGGAGGCGCTGTCCACGGCTCCCCGGCTGGGGCTCCTGGTGGACTCTGCGCAGGTCCCAAGTGCCCTCTGGGCCCCAAGCTCTCGGAGTCTCGTCCCCAGAGCGCCTGTGGGATCCTGGAGCAGAGCCCGGCCAGGGGCCTCTAGTCCGTTACAAAGCACCCCCAAGCGGCTCTGAGGGAAGGGGGCCCATCGTCCCTCTAGTAGGTGCCTTTCCGAGGTCGCCTTCTATCCAGAGGCAAATCAGCAGCCCCCTTCCACTGGACTTTCAGGTCGTGTGGGGAGGGAGGAGGAGGAAGGAGGAGGCTCCTGGAAGTGCCGCAGCCGCCCCGCCGGGCGCTCTGGGCCCTGGGTAGCGACCTGTGTGCCCAAGCGGCGGGGCGCAGGCCAGGATTTGGTGCATCACAGGAGGCCAGGGCAGCCGTGTCCTGGCCAGGACGCCACGCAGCTGTCGCCACGGCCTGCGTGATTTTCTCTCGGGGCGCGGAGCCCAGCCTAGCCTGGGGCCACCGGCATCTGCCCCCCACCCCACGTCCCCCCTAGCCTTCTGGGGGTGGGGGGAGGGGGCGCTGCACACAGCAGCCCGTGCTGAGCGCAAAGTCTGCGCGCCTCGCGGGAGACGCTGTCAGGAGGGGGCGGATAGGGCTGTTTTTTCTTTTCCGAATCTCGACTGCACTGCGAAGTTTCCGGGTAGGCGCCTCTGCCCCCAGGTTCGAGCCTCCCCTCGCCGCTCCTTCCCCTCCCTCTTCTCCCCCCGCAAGCCCAGCGAGCCGGAGCCTCGCCGGGGCCCGGCTGCCTGCTCGGCGTCCGGTGGGGACCGGGGCGCTCGATCCGCCCTGCCCACCCCTCCCCGGGCTCCGCGGGAGCGCCTCTCCCCGGGGCGAAACTCGCCGACGGGGGCGCGCCGCAAGGAGACACCGCTGCCTCCCGAGGAACTCCTAATACCATCCATACAGCTTTAATGCGTTTATAATTCGATAAGTGATTTCAATTTGAAATTGTTAGTAACTAATTTTATGGGTAATTTTTCCACATCAAATATTTAAGCATCAGATTAAGGGAGCCAGTTCCGACACAGGATAATAAGGGGGTTTCCCTCCCACCCTCTGCTCCTCCGCCTCCCTCCGCTTCCTACCGAGTCGTTTTTCCAAATCCCCAAAAGATGGCAGTCGAAGCCGATATTCTTCTTTTCCTGCGGCCCTGCGAGGGGAGGGGGAGGAAGGGGGGGGAAGAGAAAGAGAGAGGAGGGAGAGGGAGGGAGGGAGTGAGAAAGAGCAGAGGGAGAAACTAGACGTTGCATGGACTTTTCAAACTAATTCCTTCACACGTTTCTAATACAAGCAAGAAGCAGTGGTGAATTTCCTGGAAATGTCCTGGCAGAAAAGAAAGCCAAAAAAACGTGCCTGTGGGCTCAGAGTAGGAGATGGGAGCAACTCAGCACTTTCAAACGAAACCTTCAGTTCAGAACAGAGGAGGGAGAGCGGAGACCGGGAGAGAGACAGGCTGGCTCTTTTATATTCCTTTGCATTTTAGACAGATGATTTAACATTATATACAAATACTAAACAACGAAGCAACGTGTTTCTTCCAAGACAGGACTCTGCAAATTACATAATATGGGGGGGCGGGGG